CTGGAGGGGGACGAGCAGTGGATCCTGGCTGAGGTGGTGAGCTACAGCCACGCTGCCAATAAGTGAGTTCTGACAGGAAATTTGGGGCAAAAAAATGAAATTTTGGGCAAAAAATCCGGATTTTTAGCAAAAAATTTGAATTTTTTAGCAAAAAATTTGAGTTTTTTACGTCGAAATTCGCATTTTCGCGGTCAAAATCGGCTCTAAAAATTGGGGATTTTTTAGCAAAAAAACTTCACATTTTTAGTCAAAATAATTCAATTTTTAGAGCCAAAATTTGGCATTTTGGGATTTTTTTAGCAAAAAAAAATTCAGATTTTTTACGTCAAAATTCGCACAAAAATTCGCATTTTTCGGGTCAAAATCGTCCCTTTTTTGATCTTAAAATTTAGGGTTTTTTAGTAAAAAAAATTCTCATTTTTAGCACAAATGATTTGGTTTTTAGAGTCAAAATTTGGCATTTTTGGGATTTTTTTAGGAAAAAAAATTCGCATTTTTTTAGGTTGAAATTCGCATTTTTCGGGTCAAAATCAGCCCTTTTTTGATCTTAAAATTCCGGGTTTTTTAGCAAAAAAACCTTCACATTTTTAGTCAAAATAATTCAATTCTTAGAGTAAAAAATTGGCTTTTTTTAGATTTTTTAGGAAAAAAAATTCGGATTTTTTACACCAAAATTGGCACAAAAATTCGCATTTTTCGGGTCAAAATCGGCCCTTTTTTGACCTTAAAATTCAGGGGTTTTAGCAAAAAAAAACTTCACCTTTTTAGTCAAAATAATTTAATTTTTAGAGTCAAAAATTGGCTTTTTAAAGATTTTTTAGCAAAAAAAATTCGGATTTTTTACATAAAAATTCGCATTTTTCGGGTCAAAATCGACCCTTTTTTGGTCTTAAAATTCAGGGTTTTTTAGTAAAAAAAATTCACATTTTTAGCACAAATGATTTGGTTTTTAGAGTCAAAATTTGGCATTTTTGGGATTTTTTTAGGAAAAAAAAATCGGATTTTTTAGCCCAAAATTTGAGTTTTCGCCCTCAAAATTTGCTGACTCAGCAAAAAAAAATTTGCATTTTTCTCCAAAAATTTTTTTTTTTTTTGACTCAAAAATTTGCATTTTTGGTCAAAACCAAAAGATTTTTCAGGATCAAAATTCCCATTTTTGATTCTCAAAAATTCCATTTTTTGGCCGAAAAAATTTGGTTTTTTAGNTTTTTTACGTCGAAATTCGCATTTTCGCGGTCAAAATCGGCTCTAAAAATTTGGGATTTTTTAGCAAAAATCTCCACATTTTTAGCAAAAATAATCTGTTATTTAGGGTCAAAAATTGGCTTTTTTAAGATTTTTTAGCAAAAAAAAATTCGGATTTTTTAGCCCAAAATTTGCGTTTTCGGCACCAAAAAATTCGCGGTTTTGCCGTCAAAATTCGCTGAGTCGGCAAAAAAAATCACCCAACTTGCATTTTTGGCCAAAAATAATTTGAAATCTTTTAGCTCAAAAATTTATATTTTTGGCCAAAAAATAATAGATTTTTCAGGATCAAAAATCCCATTTTTGAGTCTCAAAAATTCCCTTTTTTAGCCAAAAAAATTTCCATTTTTTGGCCCCAAAAATTTGAGGTTTTTTTTTGAGCCCAAAATTTGCTGGAGGGGGACGAGCAGTGGATCCTGGCTGAGGTGCTGAGCTACAGCCACGCTGCCAATAAGTGAGTCCTGAAAAGAAATTTGGGGCAAAAAAATGAAATTTTGGGCAAAAAAAATCCGGATTTTTTAGCAAAAAATTTGATTTTTTTACGTTGAAATTCGCAGAAAAAATCGCATTTTTCGGGTCAAAATCGGCCCTTTTTTGATCTTAAAATTCAGGGTTTTTAGCAAAAAAAACTTTACATTTTTAGTCAAAATAATTTAATTTTTAGAGTCAAAAATTGGCTTTTTTAAGATTTTTTAGCAAAAAAAATTCGGATTTTTAGCCCAAAATTTGCGTTTTCGGCGCCAAAAAATTCGCGGTTTTGCCGTCAAAATTCGCTGAGTCGGCAAAAAAAAAAACAAACTTTGCATTTTTGTCCAAAAATAAATTGAAATTTTTTAGCTCAAAACTTTGCATTTTTGGTCAAAACCAAAAGATTTTTCAGGATCAAAATTCCCATTTTTGAGTCTCAAAAATTCCCTTTTTTGGCTGAAAAAATTTCCATTTTTTGGCCCCAAAAATTTGAGGTTTTTTTTT